CTTCATTACATGCTGACTGGTCATCTTGCTTCATTACATGCTGACTGGTCATCTTGCTTCATTACATGCTGACTGGTCATCTTGCTTCATTATTGGCACAGCTACCTTCCAAGAAGGCTTAGTGACCTTTGATGTAATGGTGACATAAGACTCACATACGAATTAACAAGACAATGGTGACAAAATGATAACAATGTTTTGTATTTTTTTAGGTGCATATTTCATCACTACAAATGCTGCCATCACATGTGTCASCTCTTGTCAAGACACCAGTCCAGATACCAACAGAACCAACATCACCACCACAAATTCCATTACAAACAACAGAACTACAAGTTGAACAAGGCAAGGATAAAGTTCACAAACCTGCGAAGGCACCATGTGAACAAACAGAAAGTGTTAATGAGGGATTGAGTATTGCTGTTCCAAGAATTGAAGATACTAGTCCTGGTGGATTTCTTGATGTGGACATGAACTTTAAACCTGCATTAGAGTCTGTTCTGAGGTCAGTGCATTTACCATATATTTACCCATGTATAAGCCACTCTCATAGATAAGCCGCACCCCGAGTTTTAGGAACGTTTTTGAGGAAAAAAAAGATGGAAAATAAACTTTTCTCTTTTTGATCGCGACTTGCAAAAACAGCTTTCTTTGATTTTGAAGTGCTTTTCTGCTGCTCAATTTCCGTGATCCATGCATTTCGTATGCAATTACAATCAGTTTATTTAAAGTTCGGTGTATGATAATCTTGGAGACATAATAATTGTTAAGATTGATACTATTAATTGATACTATATTTAAAGAGTTGTTTTTCATTCAAAAGGTAAAAGCAAACTCGTAATCAACAGCGAGTGATATAAATCTCATCATGCCACAAAACTTCTAAACATAACGATCATGCCGAAACCAATAGCCATGCACTTTTCAGTTTGATTTATTGAGTTGTGTTTCTCAGAGCTTGATTTTCGGAGAATTTATAGTAATACTGAGTAGTTTGGATTAAAATTTCTGTTCSCGCCGTGTAAAACAAACATTACTGATGTCCTGTCTGCAGTAAGTAGCACCGTGAAGTCTTCTCATAGATAAGCCACACCCCGATTTGGGAACAAATTTTTTGAAAAAAGTGTRGCTTATACATGGGTAAATACGGTATTCTCGGTTTGCACTGATCACGTGATATTCTAAAAATGCTATTTAGAGGCACAATTAGCKGAATATTATTATTGTCCTCAAGAGAACATCTAAATTAAAGGATCACTACGAAATTTCGAGCGAAAATAATGCTTTTTAACAGAAATACGAGCGATCGAAAATTGGTAAGAATGTATGGGATTATGACAGCTCAATGTGTTTTAGACTAGTCAAGAAATACATGTACCTACAAAAATCTTTGTTTTAAGATCGAAATGAATATTTTATATCCAAKGCCAAGAACASCATATAATTCCCAGCATTTATGCAAAGTTTGAAGTCAAACTGAAATTTTGTAGCAAAAATATAAGCGTTTGAATACGGTCTTACTTTACAAGGGAATGTATGGAAAGCCATGACAGTATATACTAATCCAGTACACGAACATGGCGGACAGTAACTCCGAGCGTCGAATTGAGGTCAAAACTAATGATTTTGCTTTAGTTTTACAACAATAACATTTTAAACATTTAATTTAATGCTGAGACTATACTTGTTTTAAACTTAATAGGCTTTCTGAGATTTATTTGTCGCGTTTCAAGTGGCGTGACAGTATTGCGTGACATATTTTTGAACGTTAATAACTCAACGAATAAACAGCAAAAAAAGTTTAAACTTTCGGAGAGAACTTCTATCATGCTYTTSAAGKTATTTTAGTGCTGCAATGTTGTGTGTCTGTGATTTAAGATTTTTTTTCGACTGATGACGTCATGTGCAAACCGAGAATATCACACGTTTAAGGTGTTTTAACTGTAATAACAATTTAGAGAAAGTATTTAGAATAAAAATTAATGCAAGTATCCAACTTTTCGGAGTCATCCTGACTCCATTCTCAAGGACTAAACTTTAATTAAGACTTTAGCACGAATCCGACTGCGAAGTCAGCAAATCTTGCCTCTTCGTTATTATATATGTATGCATGACTGTGGGAATTACCTTTTACATTGTATGTTGTATTAAATGCAAATGAGGGAAAATTGGCAGCATCTATAGCTTTAAAAGGTCAAAAAATTAAATTTGACATGATCTAATTATAGATGGTATGTCATTTCTAAAATACTTGGTGTATTTCAGTGTTGAATCACACACACTTACTGCAAGTTGACAATTGTTTATTTCTGTCTTAGTGGAAATACAACTGTCTTAGAGCGCTTTGAATCACACACACTTACTGCAAGTTGACAATTGTTTATGTCTGTCTTAGTGGAAATACAACTGTCTTAGAGCGCTTTGAATCACACACACTTACTGCAAGTTGACAATTGTTTATTTCTGTCTTAGTGGAAATACAACTGTCTTAGAGCGCTTTGAATCACACACACTTACTGCAAGTTGACAATTGTTTATGTCTGTCTTAGTGGAAATACAACTGTCTTAGAGCGCTATCTTGATGATGGTCTATCAGAGAATGCAAGTGACGCTGATCAAAGAAGTCTACTTTTTCATGCTATTCTTCATGGACAGTGTGATGTTGCTGGTGTACTTCTCAAGCGGTAATATTATTGATGTGAGCCTATAGAAAATAATCACTCTAATATTCTAGCTTTATTCATATCTGCAGTGGAGCTGAAGTGAACTGGGAAGGTCCTGATGACAAGACTCCATTGCACATTGCAGCAAGTCAAGGAAACAGAACAGCAACTAAAATATTGCTGAGATATGGAGCTAATGTCAGGGCCAAAGACAGTGCATTGTAAGTAGAATGTACACGTTGTATGATTGTATACATTGTAATTCTCCTTTAAATTGGGTTGGTTCATCAACGAATAAGTGTTTAATACAGTAGTTGCATATTGTTATAACTATAATTAAATGTGTTAATTGAATAATTAAGATTGATTGATGTATTTAATATTGATCTATATTGATTGATGGGTGATAATGTGTTGCTTGATAGAAATTGATTAATCTGGTAATTAGTTAGTTGACTGGTTTGTTGATTGATGGTGGGAAAAAGCGGTAAACTATTGTAAGCTACGTCGGTGTTTCTAAAGAAACAGGAGTGTTACAACTAAGATAAATTTAACACTGTAAAAAGGTAGGTGACTAGAGATACATGTAACTTATGTCACTAAGTTATTTCACCTACCTTTTCGGTGTTAAATTTATCTTTTTACTTATCTTTTATCTTTACACTCTTGTTGATTGATGGATTGTTTATTATTTTGTGATGATTTTTGTTTAGTTGTACACCTCTCCATCTTTCTGTTGGTCACAAGCAAAACCTTGAAGTATCACATCTGCTGGTGGAACATGGAGCCAGAATCAATGAGAATAGCTTACAGGGAGTTAGACCTGTTGACCTAGAACCAGTATGTAACATGATGTATAAATGCATAGCTTACAGGGAGTTAGACCTGTTGACCTAGAACCAGTATGTAACATGATGTATAAATGCAATATCTTTGTGTGTGATGCCTGTTCTTATGATTGTGTTTATTTTTTCATAGCAACTGAAGGAGATGCAAAGGCTTCTTGTCCAATCAGCATGTGAAGCTTTCACAGCTGACATATCAAAGTCAAGGTCAAACTCCAATACCTCATCCTACAACTGTCCAGCTGGAAGCACGAAGACTAATCAGTCTCCTAGACTAGAACGCATTGACTCACTCAGCAAGGGCCATCGTTGGTCTAGCCTGTGTACTATACCCAGAGGAGGACTGGTAAAGGGAAGCCCTGAATCATCTAGAAATATCAGGCGATCTGAAAGTTTTAATACACAACCAATGTTTAGTCCACAGATGGGTAAGCTGATTTTATAAGCACCTGATAATGGTTTTATTACTTCTAACAGTATGTCATATTATATTTATTATTTCTATATTTATCATTAACTGTACCAACTCTACCTAACTGTACCATTGTATCATTACACCTAATTGAAAAAACGTAGTCGTGTTCGAAAAGGTCACATCATAGAAGCTAAGATCAATTAGGTGTATATTATATTTACCACCATGATGGTGAGTTCATGGTTCATAAGAATAGCCGCTGTCAAAACTGACAACGAAAGAAATCAATTGTTCTCAACAGGACGAGGAAAGAGACCATTACGGCGATCACTGAGTTTTCAAAAGTGCACCATGGACCATGAATTTCAACTTAAACTTGATGCAAGAATAGAATCCAATGTACAAGAAAAACTATCACCACCCCCATCGTCAAATGCAGCTGGTTTACAAAGACCACTGTCACCACCCCCCTCATCAAATGCAGCTGGTTTACAGAGACCACTGTCACCACCCCCCTCATCAAATGTAGCTGGTTTACAGAGACCACTGTCACCAACCCCCTCATCAAATGCAGCTGGTTTACAGAGACCACTGTCACCACCCCCCTCATCAAATGTAGCTGGTTTACAGAGACCACTGTCACCAACCCCCTCATCAAATGCAGCTGGTTTACAGAGACCACTGTCACCACCCCCCTCATCAAATG